TTTGGGTAAACCTAGGTGGGAGGATAACTTGAGACCAGGAGTTCAAGACCAGCCTGGGTAATAGCGAAACTCCATTTGTACAAAAAAATTTTAAAGTTAGCCAGGTGTGGTGGTGAATGCCTGTAGTCGCTTGAGCCCAGGAGTTTGAGGTTGTAGTGAGCTATGACGATGCCACTGCACTCTAGCCTGGGCAATGGAGCAGAACCCTGTATCAAAAAAAAAAAAGAGCTATAGGTGCTTCCATGTTAGAATCACCTGGGATACTTTTAAAAAAAGAGATTATAGTTTAGTAGGGAATTTCAGGAAGCAAAGAGGAACATTCATCAGGGTGCTGTTGGAATGGTGATGGAAAGCAAAGAACAGCAGAATTCTATACTTACAAAACTAAAAGCGTGTGCCGTTTAATTTATTCATCTTCCCATGAGAACATCTGAACTTAAATCAGGTTTCCCACATACCTGGCTACGTGCTGTGTTCGTAGAGTGAAAACTCTAAGGTGTGGGCATGGTATCCTCTTGTCCTTTTAAGAGGGACCAGGGAGAAAATTCCGGCTGGTTTAATAAAATGTGAAATGTCAGATCAGAGACAAAGGATTATTTGATCAATTATGTATAAGGTAGATTTCTAGCTTTCTCTAAGAAAAAGTAGCAATAAAGTTCTACCACCATAAAAAAAAGTTACAGGAGCTTAATTTGTCTGATTAGTTAATATTAAGGAATTGTTAATTCTTAAAGATATGGTGTTTTTTTAAAAAAGTTATCTTCTAGAGATATATACTAAAATATATAGGGATAAAATAATATGGTGCTTGGGCGTTTGCTGGCAAAATAACCTCAGGTGGGGTGGGGTAGGTGGGGAGGGATGGGTAGTTACAGATGAAAACAAGATTGGCCAGATTGATGATGTGCCGAAGCTGCATGATGGTTGGAAAGAGGGGTGTCACTACTCTACACTTTCACTTATGCTTCACAGTTTACAAAATAAAATTCTTTTTTAAAAGCCATAAAAATGATAGAAAAATTTAAGCAAAGTTGCTCAAAAAACTGAGGAATATAAGAAATAAAGAGATTCAGTTAGAAATATGGATTAAAACAGTTGACTACCTCTCTCCTTACACTTCAAATCCCTTGAAACAATATATTTAAAAAGAGCTAATGAATCACAACAGCCAAGGACAATATCAGAACACCAGTGATTTTGAAAAACTTCTCCTAAGTTCCTCAAAGAGCGGTTCTCAAAATGTGGTCCCCAAGATGACCTGCATCTGCCTCACCTGGAAACTTGTTAGAAATGCAGACGCTCAGGCCACATCCCCCCTCCTGAATCACTCACTCCGGGAGTGGGGCCCTGCAAGCTGGGTCTGAACAAGCCTTCCGGTGATTCTGATGCACACTAGAACCACTGTAAAACTAATGCAACCGACAAGAACAAGGGAGGAAAGCCTCAGCTCAAACTAGCCTGGGAGACAAGGATCAGAAAGCTCAGAGCAAGCCCAGGGAGACTCACTTCATCAGTGACAGGAAGCTGGAGACAGTTCTGCCACGGAAAGAAGAGCTCCAATCTCAGAATTAAGCTCTTCGTATTTCGGCAAAGAGAGAAGAGTGAGGATGGGACAAGAGTCCACTCCCAATCCAGGTACTCTGAACAGCCAGCCAGGTAACAAGCCCCTTCTCAGTCAAGGTAAATGCCTTTTGGGGAAAGAAGGCTTATACAAATTCAGGAAAAATACACACCCAACTACAGATATATAAATCAAGTGAATCCCTCTTTCCTTGCTAAGAGGGAACATTTAAGGACAACAGATAGCAGTGAAGATACTTAGTAAATTGAGCAAACTGAACAACTGACAATGAGAAGAACAGAAACAACTCAAGAAACAGAAAATAATGTGAAATTTCTGATTGGTAACCTCTGAGATGTAAGGGTACTATACTACATCTATGAAAACAATTAGAAAAAGAAAGCAATCTTGAATATTTAGAAACAAATTACTAAACTTGAAATGGGTATGTCTAAAGAGGAATTTAGTGGTCTGGAAGGTGATATTTGAAGAAATGTTTCAGAATAAAAAGAACAAGACAAAATTAAAAGTTCAACAGCAGAGAATAAGTTACAAGAGTCCCAGAAAAATGAAACACAAAATGGAAAGAAAATAAAGCGACAATTTAAAAAATGGCCTAGTCCAAGAATGGTACACTTCTTCAGATGAAAGGGCTGTGAGTTAAGCAGAATGAATGACATATGTCCCACCAACCTAGACACAAATTGGTAAAAGTTTAGGATTCCAAGCATAAAAAGAAAATCCTAAAAGTTTTTCATGAGGAAAAAACAGGTTATTTATCAATAAGTAAAAAGAGAAAAGAGAGAGAACCAGATTAGTATCTGACTTTAATCAGCAATACTGGATGATAGCAAACAATGGAGTTATAGCTTCAAAATTCTGAAGGAAAATGATTGAGTCTAAAACCATAACTCAATTAAAAAAAAAAATCTCAAACTGAGTATTCAGCATTTAATTGCTTGAAGATTTGCTGCAGTACACCAGAAAACTAATCCTGGGATGTAAGAAAAAGCACTCAGAAGGAAAAAAATAAATCTCATAGTTGTCTAATGATTATTTATGCAAAATATTGAAACACACACACACACACCAAGAGAGATTAACCTGCAACTAAAATCACACCTGATTACATCAGGAGAAGAGGTCCACTAGGGAAGTGAAAGAATGCTAAGGTATTGATTTACCTGGGAGATGGGTATAAGATAATGGCTACTAATTAAACATAAAGAAAAAGGGTAACCACTAAAGAACAGCAATGGGTTTAATTATTTCCAAACCACTAGGAGGAAAAACAAGCCAAAAATAAATAAATAAATAACAATCAAGCCAACAAGATGAATTAAAAACAAGAAGAAAGCATGATATACAGAAAACACAAAATAAGACGGCCAAGAGTAGTCCAAATATTTTAATAATCTCAATTAATATGAATGGATTAAATTCCTCTGAGCTGTTTTGACTACATTGAGGAAAACAGAAGTGAATTACAAAAGATATTGAGAACAAAGAAGAGTATTTCATAGTTATAAAAGGCACAACTCATCAACAGTCACATAATGCTTTCGCACCTCAGAAATCAATTGATTAAATGGGCAATAAAATAGGAATGTAGAAGGTTTTAACAGTTACCAAGCTAAATCCAGAAAACTTTGTATCCAAAAACAGGCAAAGCACCCCTCCACCCTCCAAAACTCATACAATATTTACAAATATTGACCATGTAATTTCATAAAGTAATGATTTAGGCTATATTCTATTAGCTTGGATAATTTAAACACACTTTTAAGTAATTCCTGGGTTAAATATAAAGGCAACTAAATCTGAAATTACCCATTAGAAATAAACAATAGTCACAACAGCTAAAGACTGTTAGACACAGCCAAGGGAGTATTCAAAGGAGTATTTTCAGTATTAAATACATTTATTAGAAAACAAGAAAAATTAAAAATAAAACCGTTTACACAGTGCATCCTAAGGCACTGATTGTCAACATCCCTGGAGATATGGTGGCCCATGAAAGTGGTTCAGGAGTCTGTGAATCCATTTATGAACCGTAAGCCTATGGAATTTGTATGCTAACCAGTGATAAAACTGCAGACTGCATTGTATTTTAGAATATCAACTTAGTTGGTAACATTCGTTATTTCTTCCTGATGAGCTGAATTGGTTGGGAATCACATCTCTAAATATGTAACAACTGAACTGAGTTCTCTGACATCAGGCATGGCCTTATTCCATTCTATACCTTTAATACAGGCACAGTGAAGGCACGCAAGTATAAGTACTCAACAGTGTTGTAAGAACTGAATTAATTAATGTACTGGGGAGATAATTTTCCAAAATATGGGATTCACTGGAGCAGGAGGGTGAAACAGAATAAAAAGGTCTGTACGGTGGTTATAAGGTTGGAAAACACTGACTAAACATGAGTCTTAATCTCAAGTCTGTGATGTCACTAGTGTTACATGCCAGGTGTTCCAGGTTTCTATGGAGGATTTTACTAACGTACAAGAGCAAGAGATCTTTCCTGAGAGCTGCTATCAGCTTTCTTACCTTTCTTCTTGCAGGTAAGATGCATAGATTTCAAAAATCACAATGTCAGATAAAATTAATTTTTAAACTATAATAACAGACTAATTTGTTTAAAACCTAGCCTCTTTTAGCGGCTTGTCAAAAGGGCAGAGCTATACCTATAGGGGCACAATAACCAGAACACAAGATCAAACTCCCTGGTATTACAGGAGACAAAAAGATCTCAGTAGCTTTTATTTACTTAAAAAATTTAAAAAGGGTTCAATTACTACTTTCATAGGCCAAATTTTAATTAAATCTTAAAACGGAGATTATTACTCACATTATCTCACAAATCATTGTTTCTGCTATGATAAACAAGTTGAACCTCATCAAGTACTATATTTTATATACTTTTTCATGGGGGGAAAAGGTCCAGTTCTGAAGTATACCAAAAAGAAGCACTTCACTTGTATCTAAACATACACAGGGACATATAAAATTGAATCTAAATATACAGAGGCCATATCTGTATTAATATTTCAAACACTGAATATTTGAGCTATGTGAGTGGTGCATGTAGGTTAATTTAAACATGTCTTTTAAGATAAACAGGGAACATTTAAATTTCAAGAACTTCTGATTGTATTAATTTGATCTGGTTTATTTTAAAAATATTCCCCCTTGCTAAAATTAAAGAACATCTTCCTCTTTTGCATTAAAAACAAAATGGCTCTATTTCTCTGCCTAATTTTGCTTAGCTGATTCAAACACTTTAAAAGCTTTCTTCTTTACTACTAAACCAATCTTCAATTCTTAACTAACCCAACAGTTTTCCTTACATGAGAGCAATACATTAAATACAAATAAAAAGAAAAATTCTCCCAGAAAGTATTCTACACAATGCCAACAATACAGACACAGTCTTAAAAATCAGTTATGTATTTATTTGCATAGAACCAAAGGAAAGATTTGAGAATCCAACATAATATCCTATGAGGCTGACAATTTAATCACTAATCCAGTTTTAGAAAAAAAAATCATGGTACTATTTTACATGCTTCAGTTATGTGTGCTGAAACATCAGACACATACATCTTTAGTTTTCACAGAACTGGTATCAAGTCCAAAAAAGTCTTTTTTGATGATATACCGAACACATTGCAAGATCACATTTCTTTCATGTCGAATGTCTGGAGCTAAAAGCTAAAAAACAAACAAATAAAAAGATTAGCTGGTAAATAAAATATATACAGGAAACACAATCTAAAATATTGCATGTGTCTTCCCCATATAAAGAACACAGAACAATAAGAAGATGTGTATTATATTTACTAATTATTCTGCTAAAGAACAATGCAAAAATATGTCATTTTACATCAAGACTATCTAGCTTTTTAAACCGAACTAACGTTGGCATTTGGGGTCCTCCCTAAGAGTATCTAGCAAAGCACAGGAAAATAGGTTTAAAAGTATGCAATTCTGTAATCTAAAAATTGACAGACATATTACATATAGTAACAATTAAATTGGCAGTAAAAAATCTCAATATTCCTTGACTTTCATAACTTCTCATTTTTGTACTTATTATAATTAAAAGAAAGCTAAAAATCCTTGGTATTTAGAATAAGTACATCACCAAGGAATCATATGTAATCTGCAAAAAGGAATTTATTTTATTTTTTATTTATTTTCTGATGTCATTAATATAGTTCAGAGAACATCACATCTTTAGTAGAAAGATGATTCAATTCACCACTTGTAATGTAATTTACTATATATAGCATTGACATTTACAAAATTTCATATCCATCTTAATAAGAAACAATGGTGTTTATGTGTAGCATCTCAGAGTGTCGCCACAGAACACTTTAGATACAGCGTAAGTACTTATCTGATAAGTCAAAACCAAACATTTTTCATAGAATATCAACAGTTTTACAATTCCACTAAAAAATGTAGATTTCTATTATTCTTAGCCATGAAAATCTTTGATCTTTGAATAGCTTCATGTCCATTAGAATCAAAGATTCATTGCTTCCTCTTTACAATTTGAAGACAGGTATTAGATTTTTGAGCACATAATGCTGAGAATAAAGCCAAGAATACATAAAATAAATACAAATAAAAAAAGTACAGAAAGAGAAAAAGTGAAGATAGTCCCCAAAGATAAGAAATGAGAATTGTCAGGAAACCTAGGTCTTTTCTTTCCATTACTTTGTCGTTTACAACAGATATTTATATGAAAAACCTTTTTTTCTTCTGCCTGCCACTGTTCTTTTAGCTGTGCTTTCAATAAAAATTAAAAAATGTCAATAAACCTCAATACATATTTCCTTACCAACCAGTCAAATATACATTCTTTACTTGAAGCAATTTTGAAAATTGTACTACTCCACCTTAACTGAACACAAGCTATATGCCAAATGTAGCTTCAGAATTAAGACACACAGACAAGTCTCCAGGGATCATGTGTCTCTGGGAACCTTACACACACACACACACACACACACACACACACACTGCCAGTGGCTCTATCTTTATGACAGGAGAACACAAAGATTGTAAAGAAAAATAATTTACCATTTCCAAGAGATATGGGTGGTGTGTTCTTGGTTCAAATAATGTTTGACAATCTTTTTTCCTCTTACTGTTTGTCTGTTTAAAACTTTTCTTTCGATTCTCACACTTGGCTTCTGAGAAATTTCTAACAGTTGCTTTAACATCTTGACTTGGACTCTTGGGAGTATTGCTATGAAGAACCTGGTTTTCTGCCAGAATGTCTGCTTCAGTCTTGATGGGAGTTTCTAAGTGTGATGAAAACCACGAAAACAAAAAACAAACAAAAAAATAGACCTTTCATACATAACCAAAACATCCATAATAATCCTCCCAGCCATAATATTGGCTACTTAATAACTTAAAACTATGAAAGATTTTACAAGACATTTAAATATATTCTAGTATTTTTCAAATTAGGAGCTATAACTGCCAAGAATTGAAGAGACTACCACAAAGAGCTACGGAAAGGGATCCCTATGAAGGAAATGATACCAGATGGAAATTGGGAGCTACACAAAGGAATGATGAGTGCCAGAAACAGTAAATATGCAAATAAGTACAAAAGATATTTTTTCTCCTCTGAAAAAAAATTCTACAAGATAATATATTTAAAGCAAAAATAATAACAGTGTATGTGGAATTTATAACATTTATAGAAATAAAATCTATGATAACAATAGCACAAATGGAGGTGGAATATTCAGTATATTACTGTAATATTCTTTAATTTTATGTGAAGTAGACAGTATCATTTGAAAGCGATAAGTTAAAGTTGCATACTATTAATTCTAGACCAACTCCTAAAAAATAAAACAAAGAGCTAATAAACGAATACTTGCAATGCCCTAAAAATGTATGATTCACCCAAAAGAATGCAAGAAAAGAATGGAACAAAAAATAGATGAGACAAATACAAACAAACTATATCAATAAGTACATTATATGTAAATGGTCTAAACAACCCACTTAAAGGCAGAGATGGTCAGAATGGAAAAAGAACAAGGCCTAACTATATGATGTCTATAAAAGAAACTGATTTTAAATGCCCCACTGTTAGGTTGAAGTCCAAGTTCCATTGCTTATTAGCTGTGTGACCTTGGGTCAAGCTACTTATGTCTGCCTAAATTTCTTCATCTACAGAATATAGATATTAATAAATAATGGAGTCTACTTCATGAGGTTGTTGTGATAATTAAATGTAGAGGACATAAAAGAGTGCCTGCCATAGAGTAAGCACTACATAAGAATTTGCTGTAATGATACTAGTGATGATGTGTCTTCAAAGTTATGGGGGAAAAGAGAAAAAGAGAGATGTACTCATAAAAGAATGGAGCTAAGAATTCCCAAAGTGGTTTGTAGCGTTCAAAACTATGGAAACAATAATTAAAGGCAAAAAGAAAAACTTATGACACTGTTTTCTATTATTCCCTTTTCCTTCGAATATTCATCACTCAGTTCAGGAACACAAAAGTCAAATGGATCAAAGCTTATGTTGTCAATTATGTGCTAAGGAATGAAGAACTAGTACTATTTATATTTTTCTCTTTCTTGAGGTTTACAACATCTCCCAGCTAAGTACCATATATTAATGTACTGTTCATCAATTCAAACAAATTTTAAATATTGCTATTCAATTCTATATATATGTGTGTGTGTGTGTGTGTGTGTTTGTGTGTGTGTGTGTGTGTGTATTTTTAAGAGATGGGGTCTCGATCTGTCACCCAAGCTGGAGTGCAGTGGATGATCATATCTCGCTGCAGCCTCTAACTCCTGGGCTAAAGCAATCCTCCTACCACAGCCTCCAGAGTAGCTGGGACTACGGGCACACGACACCACACCATGCTAAATTTTTTTTCTTTTTTCTTTTGTAAAGACGGAGTCTCACTATGTTGCTCAGGCTGCTCCTTGAACTCCTGTGTTGGACTAATTCTCCCACCTTGGCCTCCCAGAGTGCTGGGATTTCAGCGTGAGCCACTGTGCCCAGCCAGCCATTCAGCTCTTTCAAAATTCAATGACTTCTCTTGGTTTGTGGTCTTTTGAAACAGTCCAATTTGAAGGTCTCCCCATCATAGCCAAAACCATTTGAAGAAACATAATTTGGGGGAATTGTAAAACTGTGCTTAAATTGTAATACGGTAAAAAAAAGAAAGCTAAAATGGGAACATGCAGAACTGATACCAAACCAATCCATTTGGAAGTATTTCTCATGAATTTTTATATCTTAATGATTTTCACAGCCCCAGATGTGAATACATCTTCCTTTTCTTCAGTTTTACTTGAGGGACCCTTCCCTTGTTTAAAACTCTTCCCAGAAAAACACTACTCATGTTTCAGATCCTATACAGTTTTATGTTAATTCTTTTTTTTTTTCTTTTGTTCCTCTCCATGGAAATCTTTAGTAAAAGGCAAAAGATTTATACATATGAAGAGAAACCGGAGTATGCACTGCACTTACTTTTATGTTAATTCTTAATTTGAGATAGATCTTAATAATGAAGACACAATTGTTAAAATCTGTTAGAAAGAATCAGACTGATCCTATCCATTTAGAATCCACTTAAATAAGCAGCCTTCTAGATGCTGTTTTGTGGTTCGGAGAAGGCCCTGTTTATCTCCTTGGTTTATTTAGTCTGAACTCCCTATGTGTTAATATCCCATCCTAGAGCCCAGAATACCGAAAGCTAGAAATTTGCCAGTGATTTGGATGGCTTAATAAAGCTGAATACAAATTATATAAAATAATTCTTAAGACTTAGGAATGCGAAGAAAGGGTTCTCTCCTTAATGCAGGGCATTTTAAATAATTAGTCAAAATGAATTCATACAAAATCAAATATATCTTGTAATAGGTAATAATCCTGTCATCTATAAAAGAAAAGGCCATGCATTATTGTGCAGGAAGACAGCAAATGCCACACAGAGAAAGACTATAATGGAAGGCAGTATAGTTGGCACTGTTAAGACTTTTAAGCCCCCAAACCTAGATTTTACATCGGCTCTGCTACATACTATCTTGCCAAACTTATACTCTCTAAGCTTAAGGTTATGTAAAATGAAGGGGTGAGACCTCAAATATCCATTCCAGTTTCCTTTCCTCTTTCCAAATTAAAAATAGTGGCAGTCTCAGAATGAAGACATGAATATAAAAAGTATTAAATGTTTCACCTTAAGACAGAGAAGAAAGCATTTGTCCAGCTTGTTTTTATGAGATTCAGTAATCTGGTAATAGTTTTCTTTGTTATCATCTGTTATATATACAACTGATAAGTGGGAAATGTAATATGTGTTTAAAGAATAACTTCATATTCATATCAGTGTATTGGAAACAAGAGTAAGAAATAAATACTGTTTTTCTTAAAATTAAAAAAAAAATAAGAGGCAACCATCTGTTAAGGAATACTCTGATAAAGCCAAAGTAGTTTATGTTTCAAAATCCAAGTAGCTTTTAACAAGCTACCAGAGTAAGCTATGGCCCATTAAAAATGAAAAAAATTCCCAAGTTACAGATAGACATAAACATCATCTTTCATATTAAAGCCCAACTCTTCCTTATTCAACATCTTCCAACTACACAAACATTGATTATCTCTAGCCTAGTCAACACTAAAAGTGCTGCCATCCTCATCCAATTACATTCAAATCTTCCCTTCACTCTATATAATAAACACTTTTAGACCCTGTTTTCTTATCCTCAGTACAGCTCCTACTTTGATTACACATCTTGTCCTAAGATACATACATAAGAATTCTCACAGTTGATAAAGCCTAGTAAAATTACCATGCAGAGCCAGGTTTCCACAACAGTAGGACATAGGCTTATTCACTAAACATATGCTGGACTATTGATATAAACCTTGGATTAAGAATTGCCACAGGCCAGGCGAAGTGGCTCACACCTGTAATGCTAGCACTCTGGGAGGCCAAGGCCGGGGGATCACTTGAGCTTGAGTTCAAGACCAGCCTGAGCAAGAGCAAGACCCCGTCTCTACAAATAATAGAAAAATCAGCCGGGCACAGTGATGTGTGCCTGTAGTCACAGCTACTTGGGAGGCTGGGGCAGGAGGATTGCTTGAGCCCAGGAGTGTGAAGTTGCAGTGAGCTATGATCATGCCACTGCACTCTATCCAGGGCAACAGGGTGAGACCCTGTTTCAAAATAAAAGGAGAGGGAAGGGGAAGGGAGGGGAGGGGAAGAAGAAAGAATTGCCACAGTGCTTATCAACAGCCTCCTCACAGTTCTAAAAGGAGGCCCTAAAAGAGATGCTGTAGGAGATTAAACTGGTTTATCCTAATAAATTTCACAATAAGGCCTCATGCATTATCAACTGTGACATCATCTTTGTTTTATTTTCAGAGACAGGGTCTTGCTCTGTTGTCCAGGCTGGAGTGTAATGGCAGGATCATAGTTCACTGCATCCTCAAACTCCTGGGCTCAAGTGATCCTCCTGCCTCAGCCTGTCTCCTGAGTAGCTGGGACTACAGCTGGCACCACCATGTCCAGCTAATTTTTTTTTTTATTTTATGTAGAGACGGGGGTCTCACTATGATGCCCAGGCTGGTCTTAAACTCCTGGCCTCAAGCGATTCTCCCACCTCAGCCTCCCAAAGTACTGGGATTATAGGCATGAGCCATGGCACCTAGCCTGTAACATCATCTTTAAAGGTAAGATACGTATCCTGAACATTGCTGACTTCTCAGAAAGACTGTTGAAAGGATTCCATTTCTTCCAACCTTTAAAACACAGGCTAATGCAACCACAAGTATAGGGCTGTTGTGTTTTCCAAATGAGATAATTTATGTAAATGTACTCTATCAAGAGCAATGCCCTATATAAACTTAAAAAATTTTATCATGCTCTTTGTCATAAAGGATCTCTCTCCATCTACTTAAAGTGCTATAAACATGTTATGACAAGGGTTCTTAGAGCAGAGAGAAGAAATTAACTTTCTTTTTGCTATTTCGTTTAGAACTTTCTTCAATTCTATTAGTGGATATTTTCTTTTCTCCTTCTTATTCTTTTATTATATTGTATTACTTTTGCCTTTTTCTCCCAAAGTAGCAACAGATTTCTTCATCATGCCAGCCTTCCTTTATCCCATGTTAACTTCTGAATCAAATGAAAAAGGAATTTGGAGATCAAATAATGTATTTATGGATGCTATTAATGTGCAACATGCAACAAAGGCAAAAAGGAAACAAAACACACTTCGCTGTAACAACAGACATCATGACTTACCTTCTGGCTCACTCTCTGACCCTGAAAGACTGCCATAGCTGCTCATTAGTGAGCACAGGGCTGGTGTCACCTCCTTGGGTACGACAGTACGTTGTGGTTTCTCCTCCTTATCAGACTCTGAAATAAAAGAGGAAAGAACTCACATTCAAAACAATGTGCCCCCAAATAACTACCACCATATAAATGAAAGCTGATCACTCCTTACTCTCTCATCTCTTAGTGAAAAGAAAGTAATTTCTTTTTTTTTATTGAAGTAATTAACATAACCTCAAGATTTTACTGTCTTCATAATAAAAGATGCTTAGAACTGGATCACTTGGCCCTTTCTCTTCTTATCTCCTCCCAGTTCAAAATGCTTGCATCTCTTAATAGCCAGCATTCTCTTAGATCTGCAGTTGGGCTCAACACACTCAAGCCTCAGCACAATCTTCTTTGTAGTCTTAGCCTTTTTCCGGAAAATCGGCTTAGTCTGCCCACCATAACCACTCGGCTTCCTATCATAACGCTGCTTTCCCTGGGCATACAGAGAATCCTTGCCCTTCTTGTATTGTGTCACTTTGTGGGGTTGGTGCCTGCCACATTTCTTACAGAAAGTCTGGCGGGTTTTAGGAACGTTCACCATGTTTGCATGCACGCTATCGGCAACGAAAGCAGAAAGTAATTTCTGATCATTTCCTTAATCTTCCCAAAAAACTAATTCCCAGAGACCTGAAAACTTTCCCCTTGGTTTAAATCTTCATGGGCAGAGAAGCTATTTGCCCCAGAGGAGAGAGAGGGGCAAATGGAAGTTATACACAGCCTAATTACTTACCATGCTTCACAGGTTATGGAATTTGGGTGTTCTCTAAATTAATTTAATGACACAGTCCTTTGCTATTAATTAACAGGTAGTAGGAAGGCCAAAAATTTATTTAACTTCAGTAGATTAGGATTACTGACTTTGAATAAAGGCTTGGTCAAAGAGTTATGCTGAAATGAATCCTTCCAAAGTTTTTATTATTTAGAACTTGTAAGAACTTAAATAAATAAGCCAACCACGAGAATTTAGCAAGTACTAAGGAGACTACCAAAGGTAAAGTGTTTGATCAGGGCCCAACAAAGCTAGTTGTAGCCTCAGGACATCACCTATTACATTTCTTTTTGGCAGCTCTAAAAATGTATTAACTCTATTCTAGACAGCCAATAAAAATAAAGCCTCACTAAAGACAATAAGTAACTTGTCTATTTAATGAACCAACTCAACCCACAACCAATATGAAACGTTTTATGACTGAGCACTTAATGTTCACTAAGTCAGTCTAGGAGAAATCAAAACACGCCAATGGGAAACGGCAGTGTCCTTGTATGTGAATGTTCAACTGCCACCTTCTGCTGGATGAAGTTGAATCCTCTTTCCCTAAATCCTAAGCCCACTCACTCTACCCAGCACCACAACCCCTCAAAACTGCTCCTTGTCAATTTTAAGCTAAATTGTTACCTTTTCTCCTGGATTAATAAAGGGAAAGGGAAATATGCAGTTTATATATGTAAATTACTAACAGATTAAGCAGAAAACTACCACAATGTTCATATGAAGACTTTTCATCTATTGGTTGAATGATGAAAGACCAAACTGTAACATCTTTCCAAGACCCAAAGAGAGATACCAAAAAGCACAATAACAGTTGGATGTTATGCTCTTTAAAACCATGGTCCAATTTAATCTTTATGAGATACCATATGACTTTCACATTAATTATAGGTAATGAAATCAAAATTCAGAGAATTTGAGTAACTTTTCCTTCAGGTAACATAACTATAAGACAGTTGGGTCAAATTTAAATCCTGGCCATCAGACTCTAAATCCCAATTCTTAACTAGTGAGCAAGAATGCCTCCTGCAGATATATAAAGTCTTCTTCTTAAAATGAAGCCATCCTATCAAAGTGCTTTTATGATCAATGATAATGTTAATAATGTCTTCCAGCTATAGCTCTATTTCTTTGTTCCCTTTTATAGCAACTCTCCAACCAGCTATCTGACATACAAGCATATGTTAGAGATATCGCAGGTTCAGTTCCAGACCACTGCAATAAAGTGAGTCACATAAATGTTCTGCTTTCCCAGTATATGTAAAAGTTATGTTTATACTATACTGCAGCCTATTAAGTATGCAACAGCATTATGTCTAAAAAGAAATACATATCTGAATTTAAAAATACTTTATTCTTAAAAAATCCTAATGATCATCTGAGCCTTCAATGACTAGCAATCTTTTGGCTGGTGGTGAGTGTTGCCTTGATGTTGATGGCTGCTGACTCACTGGGTGGTGGCTGCTGAAGCTGGGGGCTGTGGCAATCTACTCGCCCTGACTGCTATCCCCATTGGTATCAGCCCCTCGGTTCATTCAGATGTCTTAATGCCATCTCATCAGAGATGCCTTTACTGATCACTCCAGACAAAACAGCATACCCTCTTCTCCAACCACCATTCTCTAGCCTTTTACTCAGCCTCACGATGCTTACAGCAATCCAACATGTTATGTATTCGTTTACTGCGACTTCCCCAATCAGAACATAAGCTACAGGACAGAAGGGGTTTTGCTTTGTTCAATGCTGTATCCTCAGAGCCCAGAACAGTACATGTGTGCTCAACAAACATTTGGAGGACAAACTGTTACATGAATGAGTTAAATTCACAACAGTTAACTGGCATAGAATCATGGAACTAGCAGGAGGTGGAGCCAGGATAGAAACCTAGTTCTGCATGGATCCAAAGTTCACTCTTTTTTTTTTTTTTTAAATAACATGACTTTTAGATTTTTTATCTAAAAAATCATACACACATGCATAGGAAAAACATTGAAGGATATACAACAAAATGTGAGCAGTGGTCATCTCTATTAAGTTAACAAAATAGGTTTTTGTGTGTGTGTGCACTAAAGTCTTTTCCCACATTTTCTGCACTACTTTTGTAATCAGAAATAATAGAAAAAAATAAAAACAAAGGGAAATAAACCTTGAAGGATAGTGCTCTTCACAAGTCAATTCAAGAAGCAGAGGACAAGGTTTTAACTGGCCTACACACAGTCCCTTTTCCCTCCTCCCTTCAAAAAAACTTTATATTTTGAAACAATTTTGAATTTACACAAGTGTTACAAATATAGCAGAGTTTCCTACACCCTTTACCCAGCTCCCTAATGTTACTATCTTACACAAGCAAAGTACATTTATCATAGCTAACAAGTTAACATCGGTACAATACTATTACCTGAACTACAGACTGTATGGAAATTTCACCAGTTTTTCCACCTACGTCCTGTTTTCTGTTTCAAGATCCAATCTGCCACACTACCTTGCATTTAGGTTGTCACGACGCTTTAGTAAATATGACGGTTTCTCTGACTTTACTTGTCTTTCATTAACTTGACACCTCTGGAGACTATTGGTCAAGTATTTGTAGAATGTCCCTCAGGCTGAGTTTGTCTGATATTTCTGATGATTAGACTGACACTACGGATTTGGGGGAAGAATCTCACAAAGGAGATGGGCCCTTCTCCACATCACAGGTCCATGATATCAGTGACTTATTACTGGTGACGTTAACCTTGATCATGTGGTGGTCTGCCTTATTTCTCCACTATAAAGTTACTATTTTCTCTTTCATTATTCTAGTTCCTGAAATGAGTTAGTAAGTCTAGCCCACACTCAAGGGGAGAAGAATTAAGCACCAACTGAAGTAAGGAGTATCAAAGAATTTTGTATATATGCTAAAACCATCACAGTAATTAATAAATAATTGAGGGGGAGATATTTTGAGGTTATGCAAATACTGTTTCATCTTAAAGTTTCACCACTAATTTCACCATCCATCAGTGAATCCTGCCTAAAAAAATTATTACTATGGTATTCTGATGGTTACTTGCTATTTCTCTCATTTCTTCCATATATATTAATTGGAATTCTTCTGTAAGAAATATTTCTACCTCATATTTATTTATTCAAGCACTTATATCAGTATGGACTCATGGGTACTCATGGGTATTTATTTTATTTGGAGGGTTATAATTTATTATTATTTTGAGGCTCAAATTGTTCCAACTTTGGCCAATGGGAACTCTTTCTAGTATCCTTCTGACATGTCCACATCTTTATGGTTTTTGAGCATTTTCTTACTTTCTGGCACTACGAGATATTCTAGGCTCACCTTGTATTTTCCCCATCCCAACCCTAGAATCAGCCATTGCTCCAAGAGGCCCTAGTTCCTGTGATTGGAGAATGGTATTTGGAAATCACAATTTGAGTGCTAGGTGTACTTGTTACTAGGGTATCACAACACACAAGCTCACTATATGTGACTGTTTTCCCAAAGGGTAAAAGTTAGGACTTCAAACAAATCAACACCTCATCCCCTACTTCTCCCCTCAGCTATATGTTTAAGGGACCCAGCACGTGTAATAACACTTTGAAAAGGAGTACTATTGACCTTTTGGCACTATCAAAACATCTTTTACAATGACTTTGCAGCTCAAAAAAAAGACTGCTCCCAAAGTCCCTGGGATCTACCCAGCAGTTCTAACACAGACATTTTTAGCAACTATCTGGAAAGACTACGCCAAAGGCATTGTACTGGCTGACAAAATAATATTCAGGAAACTTCATTTTATAAAAGTAGCTAAAACATCTTTCTAAACTAAAAATACCAGTATAAAGATAGGAGCAACCAAGCTGATAAAACTGAACTTTTGAATTATTAGAAAATATCAGCTCAAATAATTTCTCTGTTAAAACATTAGTGATACTTTTCTAAAGGTAAATCTCACCTCTTTCTCTCATTTATACACTTCATGTTCCCACCTACCAAAAACTTAATCTAATGCAATGATCTAAAAATTATCATCACACTATGAGTTTCTCAAAGGCAGGAAGAGGCTTCTTTGAAATCCTCAGCATTATGGTGAATTGTAGTGCTGGGTAAGCAAAACGTAGGACCTTATAAATCCCTACTGAAATGAAAATAGCAAAGTAACATTGCCCTTTGAATGTCTTGTCCACTCTAAACCCTAGCTGTAGAAGCTTCACATCTGGCTTCTTTCTACAACTTATTTCTTCACTTGCCCCCCCCCTCCCACCGACTATTTCTATTGTCTTTATGAAGCAAAACACAAGTATATGTTCTAGCCCAAGAAGATGTATAATTAAGCCTCCTGAAAAAACGCCACAGATTGAAAAAGCCACTCCCCAAAATGGGAACTTTGCTTTACAGTCTCCAACTCTCAGAGAAGACAGGGATGGGCATTCAGGATAGCAGATGTCCTACGCCAGCTTATTTTCTTACTTTAACATCTACCTTCTCAACAACCTAGCTTATGTCAGTGCAGAGTTAGAATGATATCCCAGTGTTCTATGACAATAGCTATATTTATGTTATAACAAATGATTAACGAATTGGATTGTCTTTGTCTTGTGGATGCTGAGGTACTTCAGTCGCAGATGTTCAATGTCACATTACTGACCAGCTGCTTTCTTTCTAGCTCAGACAAAAGACTTACTGTTTAAGACTACAGGCTAGGAAAGCCATAAACTTGTCGCATATATATTTAAACAACAATAACAATAAAATAAACTGGGTCCTAACTAATGAGATACCAAAACAAAAAAAAAGATTAAAACAAACAAAAACTTCCACGAATTAGACTAGTAGGCTAGTCAGCAGAATATACAAGAAAATAAAAAATATTGCACCAGTAAGGAAATCTAGTGAGAACAAGCCATACTCAAAACTGATAAATTGGGAGACTCCAAATAAAAGGCTTTCCCTTCGAAATGTCAATTCTCAAATCAAAGCAGCTACACAGAACAGAGTACACATACCGCCAACTACGATAATGAGAAGGTGAGGGACAGGTGAGGGGCAGGTGTGGTGGCTCAGCCTGTAATCCCAGTACTTTGAGAAACTGAGGTGGGAGGATCGCTTGAGCCCAGGAGTTGGAGACCAGCCTGGGCAACACAGCAAGACCCCATCTCTACAAAAACAGAAAAACTAGCTGGGCACGGTGTTGTGTGCCTATAGTCTCAGCTATTTGGGAGGCTGAGGCAGTAGATCTGTTGAGCCCAGGAGCTGGTGCTATGATCACACCACTGCACTCCAGCCAGGGCAACATAGCAAGACCCTATCTCAAATAAAAAAAAAAAAGACTGTGAACTCAGGCAATGATTTTCTAAGGATGATCTGAGGTTTGTAAAGATCCTCCAGAATTACTGTCTTGTCTAAAATGTGAGTGCTGATGTCTCAATTAAGTTCTGAGCCAAAAAGGGCAAAAAATGGAAGGCACTGGGAGAATTTTAAAGTGAGCTTAGTGCTGAAAAGTGTCAACTGCCACATGAGCGCACTGGGTCACATTATCACAATGCTAACTCACTACTGACAACTTGAATAACTAGATCTTACGGTTGGCTGCCTCTGGCCCAAGGTAAGAGAAGCTGCCTCCAAACAAGTAGAAGATATATATTGGAGAGGGAAGTTGTTGAGAATATTTAGGGCATATGAAAAAATGGTATTAATACATGATTTTCTACAGCTATACCTGGAGTGAAAAGTTGAAGAATCTATGGGCTAAAACATTGATTTGGAAAATGCCCAAGTCCAGAAGAAATCCCAGGTAAAGGATAACATGAATTTAAGCGGCATCTTCCCCATGAAATTAGCTACCATAATTTGCTCATTGGTATTGTCATTTCCTTGGAGAATAATATTATAAATTAAATTAAAATTTTTTTAAATTATAAATTTATAACCTAGGTGGATAATTTTTATGTTCAAGAATTATGTTCTCATCTCTGACCCTCAAAACAAGTCTGTTCCCATTCTTAACCCTCAGTATAGGTAAGAGATTCAACATTTAAACCAAAATAAAATTATGTGAGCTCTCTCATTCAACTGCTCTTGGGAGTCCAAGTGAATTCTTTCTACCAATGAGGATGAGAGGGATTTATCCCTGTTTCTCATGTCTAGGAAGTCTGTTGAGGACTTAGATACAGGCTTAAATAGAAGCAAGATGATAATCATCTTTTAGTTGATGTTTTACCAGATTGGTACTGAAATATTTCTTTAAAAAGAGAAAACAGAATTAACCATCTATCAAAGCTAAGTTAACAAAGACTATTCAATATCAGAGTCCTGCAAATGTTCATTTAGAAAATTGCACAAAATAATGAATTACATAATTTTCAAATCAGTAACATACTGATTATAATGGTAGTCTTCACATTTGTGTTTTAAGGTATTTTAAGGACATGAAAGTTTATATTTGAGGAAAGATGGTATTTTATCATCAAGGTCACTCATTGTAAGTCAGAAGAAGTATGCGGGCTCTCTCTAAAATTTTTTGAGGGAAAAAAAAAATCAGTGCCCAAAAGTAAACTCAAAACTAGCTCAAAATATCATCTGCCTTTTCCTCACTCTCTGCAAGGATAAGAAAATGCCTTTTCTAAACTCTCTCCCACATCTCAACTATCTAGACTCATACAATATTATTTTAGACAAATGCAGATTTCATATTTAGGGGACATGTGGTGAACTAGTGGAATCAGACTCCTAAATTCAAGATCTGGTTCTGCCACTAAGATAAACTAGTCTCTAATATTTCTCATTTCTAAAACAGGAGTAGCAACAGCACATATGTAAAAGGTTGTTATGAGCAGAACAATTAATATATATATAGCATACTGAGCACAGTAAGTACCTTACTTATAAATGTTAGTTGGTATTAAGATAATTTATTATTATTCCTATTAAATATTATCTTCTTATACTTAGCCTGACATTTCCTTATGCCAAGGTCCTTTTCCAGTCTAATTCAGTCAATGAATTAGTTATTCTCCCGTTTCTTGCCATTCATAACACATGGCAGTAATACTCTCCAGGGATTAGGGGGATTTGGTGGGGGGTAAACCCGCAACTAAAAGACATGGGGAGCATTGTAGGGGGGAAGGGCATGCCTTTAACCCTCGCTTGGGTGAGGCAAAGACAAAGTGTAACCATAATGTTTGTACCCTCATAATACCCTGAAATAAAAAAAAAAAAAAAGAAAAACTTGCATCTGATTATCACAGAAGCCACTGTCATCTAAGCTAAACAGAGCCTACAATCAAACCTACAATATAACATTAGCCCACTCACTAATAATCTTTGGATACTCTTTTGCAGTAGTAAGATTATGCAATTAGATAAAGCCTCACAATGTTACTGGAGAAAAAGGTGGTGCAAATATTTACATATATTTTCATTTTTCAGAAGGGGAAATGGAGTCTCAGAGGCTGAATGGTATCTGTACGCTACAGCAGTATTTTGGTGCTTTGGTTTTTCAACTTATAAGGAAATGTCAACTTGTCCTATAAATCCTAGGGAGAATTCAAGGATAAACTATAAATATATATAAATATATTCTATGCTCTAGGGAAAAAAGGTATTATTACTCAAATACAATGAATTAATATTATTTGTCCAAGATCACATTCATGTTCAGTAGCATAAATAATACTGACTTCAATTAGAATTACTGCTTTACAGGTGGGAAAGAATCCACATAATTGGGAAAATTTCAATCTACAATATTACTACAGTCAAAGAAATCTTAAGAAAATTTCCAAGATTACATCATACTACGGAAATTATCCAGCAAATATAGTCCTTCTCCCATAGCCTGCCTGCCCCATGCACCCACCCCCAAGACCCAGAAAAAAATGTTCTGAAATGAGGTTTTAGACAAGACACTCCGATTAAAAACAAAAACGAACAAAAGCATCATTCTACATTTTTTATATATTTGCCATTAATGTTCCCGCAAACAAGGTTGTGAATAATCAACTTCAGCATCATCATCCATACACTTATGAACACGTTATTTCCTGTTCCGCTTACCAGAATCACTGTTTATCAAAACACCAAGAGGATCTGCATTTGCCTTAGGTAGACCTTTGGCCTTGGAATCACACAAGCGATTCCCTGCTCCAATGACTGCTCTCTGTTTAGCACCATAATTTTTCCATCTGTGATGTCTGCCAGGACTTCGGATCTTTGCCATCTGTGAATGTCTGGACATCCCCTTCATCTTGCTGGAATAAGAAAAATGCAATTATTAATATAAAAGGCACTGAGCTTTCAAGAAAAATTTGAAAAAGACTACCGGATGCAAAAAGAAACCTAGATGTCAAATCGATCACTTGTAGCCTAGCACATTAAACAGACCAAAATAACAGAAATTCAGTGGCTTTCAAAGGCAGAGAAGTCCAAAACAGGACTTTAAAAGGACAACACCCCACAATATACTGCACCTTATTGATTCTAAGCTGCACGTTTCCACCCGTATTTTTACTCCTCTGAAATTACACTGCTATGCAATCAGGTCAACTCAGTTGGCAGCATTCTTTCTTTCCTGTTGTACATAAAAGTGTTTCTTAGAGTTTATCAAGTATGTTAACTCTTGTCTATTCATTTTTAAGGAGGCTAAATGTGTCTGAAACATTTTCAAATATGCTGCCTTGTTTGACCTTCATAATGCCCATTTATTTATGAGTATATAATAGTTGTATATCTTTATAGGGTACATGTGATGTTTTGACACAGGCATACAATGTGAAGTAATCAAATCAAGGTGATTGGGGTATCCATCACCTCAGGTACTTATCATTTTTTTGTGTTAGGAACATTCCAATTCCATTTTCTTAGTTATTAATGTTTTAAAATATACACTAACCTATTGTTTATTACAGTTACTTTGTTGTGTTATCAAGTATTGTTCACTCTAAGTATATTTTTGCACCCCATTAATCATCCCCATTTTATCACCCTCTCCCCACTACCCTCCCCAGCCTCTGGTAATCATTCTACTCTCTGTCTCCATGAAATCAATTGTTTTTAATACGTAGCTCCCACATAGAAGTGAGAACATGCAGGATTTGTCTTTCTGTGCTTGGCTTATTTCACTTAACATAATGTTCTCCAGTTCTATCCATGTTGTTGCAAATGGCGGGATTTCATTCTTTTCGCGGCTATATAATAGTCCATTGTGTATATGCAGCACAATTTCTTTATCCATTCATCTACCAATAGACACTTAGGTTGATTCCAAATCTTGGCTATTATGAATGGTGCCACAATAAACATGGGAGGGCAGGTATATCTTCGATATACTAATTTCCCCTCCTTTGGCTATATACCCGGCAGTGGGATTGCTGGGTTATGTGGTAATTCTATTTTCAGTTTTCTGAGGAACCTCCGTATTGTTCTCCATAGTGGTTATACTAATTTACATTCCCACCAACAGTGTACGAGGGTTCCCCTTTCTCCACATCCTTGCCATCATTTGTTACTGCCTTTTTGATAAAAGCCATTTTAATTGGGGTGAGATAACTCATGTACTTTTGATTTGCATTTCTCTGATGACTAATGATGTTGAGCATTTTTTCATATACTTATTGGCTATTTGTATGTCTTTTTTTGAGAAATGTCCATTCAGATCCTTTGCCCATTTTTAAATCAGATTATTTTATTTTTTCCTACTGAGTTGGTAGTTTGCAAATATTTTCTCCCATATCATGAGTTGTCACCTCACTTTATTGATTAAAGGTCTGAATAAAATCATTTTCTTGAGGGCTGTTATCATGAGGCTTATTTGTATAACAAGATCACCTTCCAGCCAAGCTTCCTTTCTCCGTCCCATACTCAGTCCACCAAAAACAAATAAACAAACAAACCCTGTTAGTCATTTCTAAGCCCCTTCATTTCTTAAAAGAGGACCCCTATACCTCACTGGGGAGAGGATGGCAGTGCTTGGGTAACTCAGTTCTCAGGCTCAGTTTTCCCTTTTGGTGTAATGAATTTTGGGGGAATCCTGAGATTTTTATTTTTCCTTTACAGTAATAATATAATAATAATAGCAGATTTCTCTTTGGAAACAATGCAAATGAGAAGACAATGGAGCAACATCTGTAAAGTACTATAAATTTAAAAAACTATGAACTAAGAATTGCATATATCCAGCAAAAGTATCTTTCAAAAAAGAAGGCAAAATAGATTTTTTTTCAGATACACAAAGCTGAAAAAAGTCATTTCTAGTAGACTCTTACTACAAGAAATATTAAAGGACGTCCTTGGGACAGAAGGAAAATGACATTAGATGGAAAGATGAATCTACACAAAAGAATGAAGAGCATCACAAATAGTCACTACATAAGCATCCTGACCACCAGGAAACAAAACCCCAGCTGTGACTGAGCCTTGTCAAGATCAGCAGATATGCCTGACTTCCAGCTGACCCCAGATGTCTGGACAATTAACACTGATTGTAAGAAAAACAAGGGCACCCATAAAGACAGTAAAAAGGCAAGCCACAGATTGTGAGATATATCTGTAATACATATACTTCAAAGAAGGATTTACATCTAAGTATTAATAAATATTTACTTAACTCCTACAAATCAAGAAAAGCAACCCCAATTAAAAATTGGTCAAAGACTTGAACTGGTACTTCACAAGAATATTCAAACAGCCAATAAGCACATGAAAAGGGGTTAACACCATTAGTCAGGAGGGAAATGGTATGACATGAGTAAAAGGTAAAAGTTTACCAAGCACCGACGAGAAGCAATGAGATGCAATCGGTAGAGTGTTAAATTGGTGTGACCACTTTGGAAAACTGTTTGGCCATTATGTATTAAAGCTAAACACGTGGATACCCTATGACCTAGCATATTTATATGACCGATGAAAACAAATACTTGTATCCACTAAACAGGGGAGGGATTAATAGAGCTCCATGAGGTGAAGATGTTCTGTACATTAATCTGTGTGGAGGTTACACAGGTATGTAGTGGGGTATGTGTGTGTACATATGTAAAAATTCAAGTTGTGCACTTAAGATTTACACATTTTACTTATATTACAGTGTAGTTCAATAAAAAGTAAATGAAATGGAAAAAATTCTGAAAAAAATCCTATGAAAGTGAGAGAGTAGGGTTAAGAGAAAAGGGTATCTCATACATTGCTGGTGGGACAGTAAAGTAGGCCAGCTTCTATTATAGACATTTGTCTATTAACATTTTTTTTTTTTTCGAGACAGAGTCTCGCTCTGTTGACCCGGCTAGAGTGCAGTGGCATCATCACAGCTCACTGCAGCCTCAGACCCCTGGGCTCAAGTGATCCTCCTGCCACGGCCTCCCAAGTAGCTGGGACCAAAAGTGTGCGCCACAATGCCCAGCTTATTTTTTTATATTTAGTAGAGAAAGGGTCTTGCTCTTGCTCAGGCTGGTCTTGAACTCCTGAGCTCAAGTAATCCTCCCGCCCTGTCCTCCCAGAGTGCTATGATTACAGGTGTGAGCCACCACACCCAGCCCACATACCTTTTTGACTCACCATGTCCATTTTTAGGAATCTATTTTCAGAAATACCTGCTCATGTGTAAAATATTGTATTAACAAGGACAATAACAGAAACTTTTTATTAGTAAAAGGTTGGTAAAAACTTAAACGTCCATTAATAGGAAATTGGTTTAAAAACAACACTACCACTATGGGACAACCTTAAGGCTCCTACACATCCCTAGAGAATGAGGTTTGTTATATATTAATATGGAACAATCTCCAGGCATATTGTTTGGCTAAAAAAGCAAGGTGCTACTGCAAAAAAGGGGGAGTGGGAGGAGATTCTATCTATCATCTATGTGTAGTATAGACACAGAGTATCTCTGGAAGGGTAAAATGGGTTGCCTCTGGAAAGGAGACTATTTAGCTGGGAGACAAAGATTGAAATGTCTTGTTCACTATGTATCTTTTTGAAAACCATATGAATATAGGGCAGTACTTATTTTAGATATAATAAAAAAAAATTTTAAGTAAAAAAGTTACAAAAGCAAAGATTTCAGAGTTGAGAGCATAGAGATGTTAAGATCTTGGTTTACACTCCTTTTTATTATTTGTAAGTATACCCAGTTAAAATGAGCACTGAGAATGCAAGCAATTTTAAGGAACTTACCCATACTGTGTTGTTGTCAATACTGCTCCTCTCTTTTCCTTTTCAAGTTTTAACTTTTTCTTCCTTTCAATATTGGCCAGAGTTGGATAGTTTCTAGAAAATAATAAAAGTTAATTATAAAAGGGCTTTTGGAGTACAACTTCAAATAAACAATCAAGTAACTGCCAAATTTAGCAATTTTTGCTTAACTAACTGACACACTAAATAATTGTAAGCCTTTAACCTTTAACTTTAGAACTTTTTAAAGGAGAAAAAAAAAAGGTAGACTACAACAATGCTACTCAAAGTGTAGATCAGCTGCTTGTCCACAAACTTAACTAGCAGTTTGCAACTAGATAAGGAGCTTACACTAGAATTTAAATCAAATATATCACATAATGTGCTCAAACTGATCTAACTCATCTATTTGGCATATACCCATAAATACTGTAAGAAGAAACTTAAGTCTATTAAATTTTATATAGATACATGCTAGGTATACTCAAAGTTACTAAGATGAGGAAGAGATAGTTCTTAAAAAACATACAGTCTACAAGGAAGGATAAGAAAAACACACAAATAGATTTAACAGAAGACAAAATATAATAAGAACCTGAAAGAGTGTAAAACTTCAGCGGGGTGGGAAGGAAAAAGATGATACCTAACTGGAGAAATCCAGAAAGAACAGAATATGAAAGAAATGGTCTTAAATGATGTTAACAGAAATCAGATGGAAAAGCTTCAGAGTGTTCAAAACAGAGCAAATACTGCAAACAAATCAAGGCCTCAGACAGTGTAGGAGATAGCCAGGCAATGGCAAGTGGTTAATTTTCTAAGAAACGTAATATAGTTACAGGCAATCAAACTGGAAAGGGAGACTCAGGCCAAAATGTGCCTTGAATACCAGACTAGAAAATTTATATTTAATTCAGCAGGTGACAGGGAGTGTATGTACAAGGCATTGATTAAGATTAAATCTGACAACAGTGTGCAAGACGATCTGCTTTGGTTCTTGGCACAGCTGTGTGGAGAGGCAGATACCAAACTCTGAGGGCGAGGGGTAGACCGTAGGAGGATAATAAACACAGAGGGAGGGGAACACAGACCCCTCTTTACCACTCAGCCTGGCCACCAATCAGAGTAAATTTTGAGAAACATCAACAAATTGTGCTCTACCATTGTTTCTAGGACACTTCTCCACCTTCTTTTTTTTAACATTTGCATTACTAACTTGACTAGCACAGACAATATGAAGTCTATGGGTTTGCCATATTGAAAGACAGGAATGGAAATGACATTGAGTAAGTGGTGAAGTAATCAGGAGAAAAATAAAATGAATTTCAATGAGGACAGTGCAAAGCAATATATCCAGCCAAGAAAAATAAACTCCATAAATAAAAGATGATGAATGTACAAGCTATAAATAAACACAAGAGGAAAAGATCAAGGTCGTAGGAGATAAAAATCTGACAGCCAGTCAGCAACATATGACTACATTTTTAGAAAGCAAACATAATCTAAGGTTATATGAAGTGGACTCTGGCACTTGCACCAGTATGAGTAAAATCTTCCTCCCAGGATACTCATAAGTGGTCAGATACTCCCCGGGTATTGTATCTAGTTTTGTACTTCTAAACTGAAAAGGAACATTGAGTAAAATTGAAACCTGGAAGGGATTCAGAAGAGACTCAAAGATGATTAATAGGATGAAAAATGAAACCTCCAAAGAAAGATGAGAAGAACTATTGCACCCTTTAAAAGAAGATAAGAAGTGACAATAAAATAGTCTTACAGGGAGGATGATAGCTAGTTATTTGCAAGCTTAAGTCAGAATATGCAGAAGCGGTAATGATAAAACAGTGATGACTTCCACAGGCCCTGCAGTGGCTGGATATGTACATCAGCTACTCAACACCCTCCACAACTCCTAAATTCACTTCTTACTACTTGTGTTTCTGCAACATTTTTGTTCTGAGTATTACAGACCTTTAACACTATAGTCCCCAACCCTGGGGCCAGTACTGGTCCGTGGCCTGTTAGGAACCAAGCCACACAGCAAGAGGTGAGCAGTGGCAAGCCAGAGAGGCTTCATTTGTATTGACAGCCACTCCCCATCACTCACATCACGGCCTGAAGTCCACCTCCTGTCAGATCAGTGGTGGCATTAGATTCTCATAGGAGCATGAAATCTACTATAAACTACGCATGCAAGGGATCTAGATTGCACACTCCTTATGAGAATCTAATGCCTGACGATCTGAGGTGGGGCTGAGGTGGTGATGCTAGTACTGGGGAGCAGCTGCAAATACAGATTATCATTAGCAAAGAGGTTTGACTGCACAGAGACCATAATAAGTCAATTGCTTGCAGACTCATATCAAAACCCTATCAGTGAGTGGGAAATGACAATTAAGCTGCATCTGGTGGCAAGCTTTATAGTGGCAAGTGAGCATCTTACTTCACTTGTAAAGCTGCATTCGGTGGCAGGCTTTAAATCAGAATCTGACACTTATTTTAGTCCATGCACGGCCCACCCATTATTTTATTTACCACTTCTGTCCGTGCCTCTCTCCTGCACGGCACACTTGTCTCAGTCACAGTTTTAGTATACCCACAAGCTAACTCCAGCAAAAATGAGTAAAAAACAAATGTCACTGAAGAACTTCTTTGAAAAAGGGGAAAGACCCAATGATGAGACAGCAGAAGACTCTGAGACTACCAACAAAATGAAGGCTGCATTTGAAAGAAATTACCAAGAGTCCTACTTAAATTATGGGTTCACTACAACAGGTGATTCACATTCTCCAAGCTCACTTTGTATAATATGCGGCAACTGGCTATCCAACAAAGCCATGAAACCTTCAAACTGCATTAAAAGACAAGCCTGGCCGGGCGCGGTGGCTCACGCCTGTAATCCTAGCTCTCTGGGAGGACGAGGCGGGCGGATTGTTTGAGCTCAGGAGTTCGAGACCAGCCTGAGCAAGAGCGAGACCCTGTCTCTACTAAAACTAGAAAGAAATTAATCGGACAACTAAAAATATATAGAAAAAACTAGCCGGGCATGGTGGCACATGCCTGTAGTCCCAGCTACTCAGGAGGCTGAGGCAGAAGGATCGCTTGAGCCCAGGAGTTTGAGGTTGCTGTGAGCTAAGATGACGCCACGGCACTCTAGCCCAGGCAACACAGTGAGACTCTATCTCAAAAAAAAAAAAAAAAAAAAAAAGACAAGCCTTTGGAGTTTTTCAAAAGAAAAAAATGTGAACACAAGAACAGAAGCAATTATCGAAGGCCACCACTTCATCAAATGTGTCTGCACTGAGAGCATCATTCTTAGTGGCTAACCGCATTGCTAAAGCTAAGAAGCCCTTTACTATTGGTGAAGAGTTGATCCTACCTGCTGCTAAAGACACTTGCCACGAACTTTTAGGAGTGGCTGCAGTTCAAAAGGCAGCACGTGTGCCTCTTTCAGCTAGCAACATAACTAGGCGAATTGATGAGATAGCAGAGGATATTGAGGCACAATTATCAGACAGGATTAATGAGTCACCATGGCATGCAATCCAGGTTGATGATTCTACTGTTGTTGACACCTAGGCAGCAATGCTTGTTTTTGTGCGATATATTTTTCAGGAGGGTGTGCATGAGGATATGTTATGTGTACTTTTGTTGCCAACCAACACCACAGCTGCAGAACTATTCAAGACTCTGAATGATTACATATCAGGAAAACTGAATTGGTCATTTTGTGTCAGTATATACACGGACGGAGCAGCTGCCATGACTGGACAGCTTGCTGGTTTCACTACTACGGTCAAGGAGGTCACTTCTGAATGTGAGTCTACACACTGTGTCATCCATAGCAAAATGCGGCTAGCTGAAAAATGTCACCTGAACTAAACAACATTGTTCAGGATGTGATTAAAATTATCAACCACAGTAAAGTACATTCCCTTAACTCACATCTGTTCATTCACATAGCTCTGTGAGGACATGGACACAGAGCACACACGTCTTCTCTTATACACAGAAATGAGATGGCTTTCTAAAGGTAGAGCACTGGCCAGACTTTTTCAGTTATGAGAGATACTCCAGAGATGTCTTTTAGGAAAACAGTCACCACTGGCAGCACGTTAGCAGTGACACAGAATGGGTCACAAAACTTGCTTACTTGTGTGACATATTCAACCTTTTCAAAAAACTCAATCTGTCACTTCAGGGGAAAATGACAACTGTGTTCAAATCAACAGATAAAGTGGCTGCATTTGAAGCCAAACAGGAATTACGGGGGCGACAAGTGAACACTGGGATTTTTGACACGTTTCAAACATTAGTAGAGATTTTGAAAGAGACTGAGCCAGGGCCTTCTTTCTCCCAGCTGGTGCATGATCACCTATCTTAGCTTTCAAAAGACTTTGAGCGTTACTTCCCAAAGTAATGGGTCTTCCCACAAAAGACCCCCAAACTGGGAAGGAATGGATCCATGACTCATTTGTGAATAAGCCAGGTGAATAAGCTAGCACTCTGTCCATGCTAGAAGAGGATCAACTGTTTGAGATCGCAAATGACAATGGCCTTAAAAGTATGTTTGAGACAAGTTCAAATCTCCATATTTTCTGGATTGAAGTCAAGGTGGAATATCCTGAGATTGCCACAAAAGCACTGAAAAGCCCGCTTGCATTTCCAACATCCTATCTTTGTGAAGCAGGGTTTTCTGCAGTGACAACAACCAAAACGAGATTACAGAGTAGAGTGGATATAAGCAACACATTTCAGGTGTCATTGTCTCTCATTACTCCCTGGATGGGGCTGTCTAGTTGCAGGCAAACAAGCTCAGGGCTCCCACTGATTCTGCATTACGGTGAGTTGTATAATTATTTCGTTATATATTATGACGTAATAATAATAGAAATGAAGTGCACAATAAATGTAATGCACTTGAATCATCCCAAAACCACTCCCCCAACCCCTCCCCTGGTCCAGGGAAAAACTGTCTTCCACAAAACTGGTCCCTGGTGCCAAAAAGGTTAGGGACTGCTGCTTTAACATGTTGGCCATATATTAAACAATAAGATTTGGTACTAAGGTTCGCTATATATTAATACAAGTAAGCAAAT